CCGCCTGCATCTGGGCGGGTGTGAGCTGCGTCGCGGTGGTCTCGCCTGCCGGCTGACTCTGCACGCCCGTCCCCTGGATCGGCAGCTGTGGGGTCTCGGGCTGAGAGCTCACTCCTGAGTCGGACTCCTCCTCGGCGGCCCGACGTGCCAGAAACTCGTCGGTTGCCCTCTTGGCGATGGGCTCCTTCTTCTTCCCCGCCTGCAAGGTCCTGAGAAGCAGAAGAGTCGTCGCCACCGCCAGCCGCACGGCCAGCCTCATCTCTTTTATGGATACGAACGAGTCAGGGCCGACTCTGGAACGACGATCTCAGATAGCTGAAACTAAGGCTCGAGCCGATGGCTACGGACAGAACAGGACAAGGATCGAGAGCTCCTGTGTTGACCGTCTTCGTTGCACGACGCCAAACCTCGTCGTAGTTACTGGTCGCCTTAGCTGGCCATCTTGATCCTAGGCCGGGGCGGGCGCACTGAGGCCGCGACTGAAAGACCCCCAAGACCAACTCGAACCCCATGAGGCCCCAGTAGACCCCATAGAGTCCTAAGCACCCAAGAGTCCCCCTGATTCGTGATCTCGTAGTCCGAGTTCTCCAGAGAGTCGACCTTGACCGTCCTGAACGTGTTTGTGGCCTCGTAGAGTCCCCATGAGCCCTTTGCACCTTCCTGGATCTCAACGCCCCTAGCCCCATGGAAATGACCACCAATAGGAGGACCGGGAGAGGGAGCGCCATGTACCTCGAAACCTTGCCACTCGAATCCATCTTGAGTGGTAGCTCCCCGTGCTTCAACGTGAAAGAGTCGGGCCTGAGAAACGGATACTTGCGCAAAGCGGACGCCGGGACCTCGTATGGCTCGTTCAGAGGTCTCACGATCTCAGCCATCCGGTGACCAGACCCGAGTCTGGTCATGACAATCACTTGATCGAGAGTGGCGGACACTAGCTGATTCCGAGGGAGGTTAACCACGCATCCCAGGAAATCTAGAAGATTCACGCTCAACAGGTGCGGCACAGAGTCTGCCAAAACCGCGGTGTCGACCACTCCGAAAGCTCCGCCGAGGCACAGCGGAAAAAGAACCGAGCTGATGACCTTGGCCGCACCTCCGACGCCATGGGCGTTCTTCAGTACTCGTCGCTCCTCGGGCACCACCACGTACTGCAGCCCCTGCTGGGCCAATGCCTCTGACTCTCGATTGAGAGCGTCGAGGCCCACGAGGTCGCTGCCAGCTCCCGGATCCACCAGTCCCTGTGTCGACTTGGCCGTCAGGTAGATCGCGTCGGTCGTCAGCTCCTCCTCGGCCTCGCGCCAGGACGGAAGGGGCAGGGAACTGACTCCAACGAACCACTCGAACATGTCGGCAGACAACCCTCGGCGCTCACGCACGGGACCGCCCGCCTTGCCGTCCTTTGGCGGATTGGGGCACTCTCGTCCCCAGTGACCCTTCTGGAAGCACAACTTGCACTTGGTCACCTTCATCAGCTGCTCCTGAGAGAGCCACGGCCGTCGTCGGCCTCGCCCAGCGCCGCCAGCTCCCCGACCGCCTCGGGCGCCACCTCGTCCTCGGGCGCCGCCGCCACGGCCGCCTGGGGGACCGCGAGGTGGCGGAGGAGCATCGCCTCCTCTGCGGCCGCCGAAGTACTCCCTGTCCCGCTTGGCGGCCCACTTGAGATCCTTGTTCTGCTTCCACGTCCTCGAGTTGGAGAGGCTCGCCATGGCGTCCTCGACCTGGTCCTCTGTCAGATCCATGTCGTCAATCTCGGCGAGCACGGCCTCGATGTCCAACTCCTCATCCTCCTCGGCATCCTCGTCGTAGAAGTCATCGTCCTCGCCGGAGCCGTACTCGATCTGACCGCCGACACCACCACCCTCTGACCGAGAAGGAAAGGAGGGAGGAGAAAACTGATCACCACTGGCCTCTGGGCGCTCAGCATCCGGACCGTGGTCCTCAATACCGAACATGGCTCCCGCTCCTGATCGGCCCGGCAGGAGACGCTCAGAGCCTGAGGCATCCATCTGACGAAGAGCCCAGGCGATGTTCTTGAACTCCAGGCTCCCTGAGGTCAATGTCCGCAAATTCTGAGTACCCTGAGACGAGAGATTGGCCCCCTCCTCAAGGAACAGACCCTTCAACTTGTCGGACATCCAGAGGTCGTGTCCCTCCGCCTCGGTGAACTGGGCTTCTCGTCGACTCACGTACTGGGTAAGAGTCTCTTTGTTCTCCCTAGTGGCCTCATACAGAGCTCTCCGCCCAGACCTTCGAAGCTCATCGCCTTCGCGCTCTCCAATCATCAAGTCCATCCGCGCGATCAGCGTATCCAGCCAGGTGGCCTTCGTGAGCTCGTAGTCGGTGATGTCCTCAAATCGGGCCTGCTTATTCCAATCGAACAACTTCATGAACTTTTCGCTTCGACGCCACACAGGTACGTCTGTGTTGGCGTCCCATCTCCTGAGGGCACGCTTCCATTGTCGGTAGTGCCCCCTGCCGGGCCACGCGGGAGGGTCGGAATAGTCCCCGCGTGGCGCCCAGCTAGCGCTGCTGCTCCAGCCGCCGGAGGCCCAGCCGTAGGACCGCCAGCCGTTGTCGTGGCCCGTCTCCTCCGAGTCTGGAGGCCACCAGCGCTGCTTCTCCCATTCTCCCCCGGCGCCTTGCTTCCGCCAGCCGTCTTCATCTCGTGCTGCTGCCGTCTCCTCGGCCTTTGGCTGGTCGGTGTTGACGCTGGGGATCTTGCCTAGTCCTGCACCCCAGGGGTCGAACTCTTGTCCGTCTCGAGGTTCTGGACGGTCGCCCTGCGCCACGGAGACTCCTCGCATTGACTCTCGCACAAGATCAGGGACCGTGGCCCTCATCGTGGTCTGAACAATGCTCACCACCGCCTCCTGTAGCGCCTGCGGGCTCAGAGTAAGCCCCTGTGAACTGGCAGCCGCCGAGCTTCCGCTGTTCCCCGTAGCGGTAGCCCCTGGCTGCATGGTCGCGTAGACCTCGCCTGCGTCTGCGTCGGCAGGCATCACTCGCCGTGGATCCCACGCCGCTCAGCGTACAGAGCGAAGCCGGCCCGCGGCTCGCAAGCGGGTAGGCCGCAGCCGCTACAGCTGCGCGCTCCCGCCCATGGCCACGGGCCCGACCCCGCTCCGCTACCAACTGTGGCAGCAGCAGGAGCAAACGAATGTTTTGCCTTGAGCCACAGGTACGGACACAGGCGCACTCTGTCAAAGATCCCCTGGATGAAACATCGCGCTAAACCTATTCGTGAACATCTAGACCCTTGTCACACTATGCTATGCTATGCTGCGCTGTGCTATGCTGTGCTGTGCTGTGCTGCGCTATGCTGTGCTGTGTTGTGCTGCGCTATGCTATGCTATCCTATGCTATGCTGCGCTATGCTATGCTATGCTGGGCTATGCTATGATATGCTGTGCTGCGCTATGTTATGCTACGCTATGCTATGCTATGCTGTGCTCTGCTATGCTAGAGCTCAGCGAAGATAAGATGAAGGACAGCTAAGCTAAGATACACCTGAGCTAAGATGAAGCTAAGCTAAGCTAAGATGCAATAGGCTAAGCGAAGATTAGATAAGCAACGCTAAGCTAAGGGGGCGTAACTGGGAGAACCGCGGGGCGGATGCCGGGGGAACCGCCCGGGGCGAGTTCCACTGCCCGGCCCCTTTAAGCACAGAGAGTAAGAACCCTTCTAGGCAGAGCCTAGGTAGGGAAAAAACGGCCCGCCCTCCGTTTACGAAGCTGTTGCAAATTCCAAAACCCAGGATCATTAGTGGCGAGGAAGACTCAAGCGAAACTTCTGTCCCACCCTCCTGTTCCTCCTTCTCCCTCTTTCTCCCCCGATCTGTCCCTCTTTCTCCCTCCTCGCTTTTTCCTCCCTCCTGCTCGCTCTTCCTCCTCCTCCTCCTCCTCCTCCTCCTCCTTCTGCCTTCTCCGCCTCGCGCCCCGGCACCGAGCCCGTCCATTGTGTCCACAGGAGACAGGCCTGTCGGCCAGAGGTCCGCCCAAACGAGGACAGGGGGGGCGTGCCCCTCAGGAGGGTTTTTCTACGCGCCCAGGTGGGCGGCGACTGCCCACCTAGGCGACGAACAAGAAACGTTTTCCGCGAGGTGGCATAGGGACATTGCGCGAAGGCTTACGCGGGGTCCCAGCGTGGCGCGCTACATTGGAAACGAAGGCACCCACGCGCGACCTTACGCGGGCAACCCCCGTGCGAGTGTCGGCGCAATTCGCCCCGTTTTCTTCCGTCGCCCACCTGGGACCTGGCACAGCCCTCCCGAAGAAAAAACGAAAGGATGCGGGCAGGTTGGGCAGGAGTGGGACAGCCAACTGCCCCTGCACTTCTTCACTTCTGCGCTTTCGGCTTCCGGGCCCGGCGCCCTCCAGGAATCACACAGGTGACACTGCGGTCCCCTTTCCAGTGGGAGTGAATAGTAGTAGTAGGTCGTAGTCGTAGTCGTAGTCGTAGTAGTAGTAGTAGTAGTAGTAGTAGTAGTAGTAGTAGTAGAAGTAGTAGAAGTAGAAGTAGTAGTAGTAGTAGTAGTAGTAGTAGTAGT